TTATAACTAGTATGCCATGTAATTAAATAACTAAATATATAAAAATAATACTGCCATATATAATTCTTATTCCCTCTGTGGGTTTGTCAGACCCACAGGGACAGCACTGTGGTTTGTGGGCTCTTCTCCTAGCAACTCCTATTCACGTCAGAATTGGGCAGCTGCATCTCCATACCCAAAACTAAGAGTTTACTATTTTGACAGTTTATATGTAGGGTTCATATAGCTGTATCTCTGGTTATTTGCACCAGTTCTACTTCAATTTCTTCTCCTCTTACAACCACTTTTAGCAGCACCTTTATGCTATTACTTACTGAACTGCTTTGCTGTAGCTGTTCATACTTGGAAAAAATGTGAAGATATGGTCCCTGCCCCAAGGAGCCTGTAATTAAAACAAGACCAGCATTACAGAAACATATATACTAGCTGGCCTGTCACTGGATGGTCTGTTTAGTTTTGTTTTGACGTTCTGTGTGAAGCAGCATTTGACAGATGTTGGGAAATTAGCTCTCTGAGCTTCTCATATAAACACACAGCAGAGATGCATGTGTATGAAATAATTTCATCACTGAATGTGGGTATTAATGGCATCAGGAATTTTCTAATGTTTGTGCCTATTCTGCTGTGCTTGGAGTCCTCCTTGCCAAAAACTACAGAAACTTCTCAAGAGAAAGCTAAGTGACTGTTGTAGCAATGCTTTCCAGTGCGGTACTGATGGTTCTATTCTCTTGCAGAAAAGACATTGACTTTTGCAAGGTCACAAGTGAAAGAAAAAAAAAAAAAGAAGAAAAGTGTGAACTGTGCTATTACATGTCCTCCATACATGGTGTTGACAAAGAAACGCAAGCACACTCAGATGGGTGAGTCTCCCTTGGCCTTATGGCAAGTTGTCCCCCTCATTATCAGTAATGGTAACATATCATGCAAATCCTGTAGTTGACATGATTGTGGCTGCTTATACCAGTGCCAAAATAACAAACACCCAGAAAGGCGGCAGGTCTCTCCACTCCTTGTCTTGCCCAGGGGAATGCAGTATTGAGGATCTGATTCCCTTTGATGGTTTCCAGGATGAAGTCAAACCAGCACAAAGAGGGGAGCCAGCAAACTGTGCCTTGCCCCTCACTACACTGTACTCAGGCAGTGAGATGAGGCAGGTCAGGCAGAGAATGAAGGCATGACCTGGGACAAAGCCTAAACCAGAACAGAATTAGAAGAGAGGTGTGACTGACAAAATGATGTAGATTTCCTCATTTCCACTTGTATTTAACATATTAAGCATTTCAAGTCTGTACTTTTATTTTGCAGCCCCCTTTACTTATTTTTCATGTATTAAAATGTCTTAAGCATTTCTAAAGCAGTAACTATGGTTTCAAAAGAACATTCACCCTCTTCCCAAATTATAACACATGTGCAAATTCATTTAGGGTGAGTGGGCACAGGTGTTATCAAAATCACCATCTTACCTGCCAATTCCACCAAAGTTTCCAGTGCTTGGGTATTTTCTTCCACTGCTGTGTGGATTTTTTTTTAATTGTAATGTTCTCTGTGCTTTTTTTCTTTTTTTCTTTTTTTTCTCAGATATTTTACCCTGTTACTCAAACCTGCTTATGGCCTCCTCCTCTGATCAGCTGTCTGAGCTATAACAAGCCTTCATGACAATCACTGAAAAGAAAAGCAGCCTCTGCAGATATGGACGTGATTGGGGTGAGATCCCAGGGACTTGTGCTGTGTGCTAGAAGAGCACTTTAGAACAGCAGCAAATAGGTGAGTTTGAGGTGGGTGACATGGCAGAGGAGAAGTAATGCATGTGAAATATGGGTTGGAGTAACATGAAAAATAGAGGGAAAGTGAAAAGGCAGATTTAAAACTGGCTTTTCATTTTCCAGTGTTACCAATGTGTCAGTTTACTAAGGGGATGATACTTTTCTTTGTTGACTGAATTCTCAGGATCTCTTCCTCAATATTGTCCTGCTAACACACATCTGCACTTCAGAACATGTGCGGATGTGAGCTCTGTGTATCTGAACTATAAAAAACTCTATTATCACAGCACTAAAGCTGAACTAATGTATCCTGTCCCTCAGCAAGGACTAATAGCTCAGGATCAGCTTCATGCTAACAGCTTTTGAGTTGCCTGGAATGGAGGCAAAGTGAGTTTTATCTTCCCACAATGTACTTTGTACAGTTATCGATACTGGGTCCAGTTTGGAAGGAGCATTAAAAGCTTTCTTAATACATGATTTTGCTTTTCACTGGTATATGTCAAAGTGTTTTGTAAATGAGACAAGCACCCCTGTCCATATTTCATGATATGCAGTACTAGGACAAGCAAAATACAGTCCCTGCCCTTAGCTTCACAATGGTCAGGTCTGCAGTGTGGTTCAGATCTCTGTTACCTTCTCCACTACACCATGTTGTAACTGGCAGCTGCAGGATTGGTCAAAATCTGTGCTGATATCCCATTCAATCCCATAATTCTTTATGTTGAATCCTGTGTTTCTCAATAAATATCTGTAATGGCCAAATCAGACCCATTGCAGTGCATTCTATGCAGCCTGTGTTTTTCCAGTTTAATATCTACAAAATCAAAGCAGATTTATGCCAATCTATTGTGAAAACATGCAGAATTGTAATCTCTATAATTTGAAGGGAGTAATAAGTGTCCCTGTAAAAGCAGTCATCCTTTGCCATATGTCAGGTTTCAGAGCTTTACATAGAAAGTGAAAAAGCTCCTAAAGATCATTTCCTCTAATATGTTTTAGTTACAAATTTCATTTCAATTAGCTTTGAGAACTTGATTGTATGCAATACACAGTGTTCTGTGTTCTTCTGTCTACCTTTGTTGCTTAACTTTGTTTTCGAAAATAAAATATAAAACATTAATGACATCTATCCCAGAATTCAAGCCCGATTTAACTTAGCTTTTGTGGCATTGTATCAGGAACTCAGTTGGCTTTAAACATTTCAGGTCGTTTTTCACATGTAGCAGTAATTGTGCTATTTCGAAAAATGTGGTGCCATCATGTGGGCAGTATTAGGAAGTGCAAAAAAAAAGGTTTTAAAAGAAAAACTAGTCAACAGACAAATATATGTATTCAATATCACAAATGAGAGGAATTATAAATATGTATCATATATAAATATACAAAAGCTATGGACAAATCTGTGGTTTTAATGTTCTGTAAAGTAAGAGGAAAAACTGAAAATGGAATCAGGCATAGTGATTCAATCCTCTTTATTTTCCAACAGCTTAGGAAGTTCTTTCCTCAAAACAGACATGAGTCTTGAAGCCACTATCAATTAGCTCCTCATTCCAACATCACTTACTCCTGTACTCATTTCTGTATCTGTTTATCTCTTCGGTTTGCCTTTAAGACTTTGCAAAGCTTGTTTTCATACAGCCTGCATTGCTTCTCTCCCACACAACTGCACATAAACTCAGACAAACACTCCTATCCCTGACATCACCCAGCCAAGGCACTCTGCCCACACTGTTCTCATTCCAGTATGAGTTCACACGAAGCTTTGTTTCAGCAATGGTTTTGGTTTAAGGCCTCTTCTTGTTTCTTACATTCAACCAAGAGGAAAGAGACTTTGCCAGATTTGAAATAGCTATCCTTAATACCAATAAAAGCCCACAGCAGCCAAATCAGAAACACTACAGTGCACTCACTCAACCTAAGGTTTTCTAGCTTACAAAATCAATGCAGAATTATGTCAATCTATTGCGAAAATGTGCAGAATTCTAACCTCCATAAGTTGGAGTAATACCAGTGCCTCTATAAAAACATCCATCATTTGCTACAAGTTCCTATCTTTTTGTAGACAGTGAAAGAAAATGTTCCTGATTTCCTCTATAATATTCCATCTATGACAGACCTGTGAAGGTTTGCATGTGAGAAGTGTCCTCTGATAGACTGCCCCAAAGCAAACCTGCTTGTCACAGAACACTCATCTGTCTCCTGCTCTGAAACCCTGTATGTGAAGTGCTAGTTAGCCTGCTCTGTAGTCTGCTGGTTTCATACATATTGACTGAAGGCAAGAACTTTTGAAGCCCTGCCAGTGGGTTTGAAACAGATAGTCTATGTCGAATAGAGCTTGAAGACATAACGTGTTTGGATTGGTTCCTTCTTCTGTAGAGCTTAGTAGGTTTTGGTTTATTTATTTAAATAAATTTGATTCTTATGAACATTGAGGATCTTTGGAATCCTTTTTAAGAATGGAGATTTATGTAGTATTTTACTCAGAAATTCAGTTGATAATTTTACCTTGCTGTCAAACTTGGTAGAAAAGATCATGCATTGAAACATTCTGAGGTGGGAGACAAATGGAACATGTGTCTGTATTGATGTGCTCATGTTCTTGATTACTTGGCATTTAAATGTTTAGAATACAGTGAAAAAGATAAAAATACCTCAAATTATACCTTTTTAATTCCTATAAATCTGAAGCCAATCTCAAGAGACCTCACCTTTGATTTTTTTTTAATAATTGGTAACATTGTGCTAGACAGAATGTGCAACAAGCTCAACAAACAACTTTGATATAGATGAACTTTAATGTCAAAGTATCCTATGACAGCTTGCCTGAGTTTGGTTTTCAGTGTTTAGGAAACTCATGCTCATCCTTTTAAAACATGTGACACCAGTTTGATTTTGGAAGAACTGGTTAAATTCCCTCCGAAGGCCAATCAATAAGGTAGTGAAAACATATTTAGATTTTCTGGATTCTGACATCTTTTGCCATCAGTGAATATGAAAATGGGATCATGAGCTCTTCCTGATTCATTATTTTTTTGATGTTGTGCATGGTTTATAAAATGGTATTAGGTTTTGCCCACTGTATAACTTTGATGAGTTAATTAAATTATACAATATTACTAATGGTGGATTTTCATTTCAATTTTTAAAGCACACATCTCTAAAACTAAATCTTACCAGAAAAAACAAGAATCTGAATCTCATCAACCCCTGTTTGCTGTAGTCTGGGGTTTTCATATTCTATTTCTCTTTATGAAACTCATCCTTTCTGGTCCAGCCTGGTTGAGGGTCAGGTCTATCAAACATTGTACTGTTTTCATCACTGGGATTTCCTGTAACTATTACCCAGTAATTCTTATCTTCTTCAGCTCTATGGGAGTCCAGGTAAGTGTGACAAACTACTTCATGTTCTCTTCCGCAACAAGACCTGCAAAGTCAAAGAACAGGGGATGGGCAGGAGGAATTAATAAAGGCATAAATTCAGCAAATCTGCATTATCTGGAAATTGTTCGAGGTTTTCTCATGTTTCTCTTGGCTTATTCAGAAATGTCCCCATGCACTTTCAAATATCAGACCCTCATAGCCCACTTTGTTTCCCATTAATAACTTAGAAAGGTGGCATTTCCCTTTCAAATTCCTATCTGCAGAGCTAAAGCAGCCCCATCAGTATGAGGCACAGACAGAGTGACTCAGTATTCACAAGCTGGTTAGGTCCTCATCACTGCTCACGTCATCATTTCTCTCTGACTGAGGAGGACTCTGGCTACTTAAGAATTGTTTCAGCCTCAAATTTTCAGACCTTGTTTCAGCCTCAAAAATCTGATAAAAATCCTCAGTCAGATCTTGCTTGGAGTGTAATGGGAAACGACTGGTATAGTCTTTAACAATGCTTAATCAGTATTAATTTAATGCATGTTAACTTAAATTATTGGATTAACTTCCATTTGTTTAAAGATTAATATGGACATAAGCAAGATAGAGTTTTATGATGTGTGTTGTTCTTACTCATACTTCTTAATATGTTGGTTTTTTCTTCAAAGAAATCCCAGACAACTGTAACTACTCAAGATACTAAAAAGAAGAACCACTAAAAAAATAGAGAAGGCTTCAAGCATGATATGATATTAATTAAAAAGAAAAAAACCCCAAGACTAAGCTGATTGTCTGCAGCATTACAGAGGGGCACACATTACGGCCCAGAAATCAAAGAAGGGAAAGGGGAATGTAAACTCAGTGTTTTTTCCATTTCCTCAGTGCATTCCTAAGCAACTATCTTGCTTCTTAGAGTAATTTCTGTTGTTGGCACATCATTATACACATCCCTGACAGTTATAAATTATTCTTACCATGTCCAAAATTTCCTTGGAACAGCCAAGCTCTGATTAGTATGGCAATGAGTAATAATAACTTCAGAGTTTTCCTGGAAAATAAACCAAAACCAAAACAATATGGAAAGACATTTGACAGACATATTTACACTACTTTTAACTATTCTTATTGAAATTAAATGCTTTTATTTACTGTTTAGTGTAAGCCCCCATTGCTCTGTGTCACTTGGAGACTGCTGTATGTTGACAGTGAGATATTTTACACTCCTTCAGTTCTCTACACAACTGTCTTAACACCTCAGACCAGCTAAATGCTCAGTCCCCAGGTCAGAAACATTCTCCTGTTCAATATATTCCAATTAAAAGAAAAAAAAAAAGGAGGCAAGCAAGTAGTAGATCATTCCAGTGGCCTGTGCCATCAGGGTTAATTCTGCTTATAACTGTTATTTGCCATATGAGAGGTCCAGATGGTCTGGGAGCACAGCCTAGAAGTGGACCTTTATATTTTACTAGTTTGCAATCTTTTATGTACAACAGAAATTTTAGTCACCCTCATGTACCAATACTGTGAATAAAGAATATTGTCTTTGACAACTACATAATTTTGATTGTTTATTAATGGGCTCATTCATGTAAATGAGTCACCAGAACCTAATAATTGTATGTGCAAATTCCCTGGTTTAAAAAGATCATTTGTTCCCTCTCTATTCCCAAGATGACAGATCAGAACTTGCATAAGGAAAATAGGTGAATAAAATGGACACAACTTTCTTTCAAGTACTCCATCTATTGTTTGAACTAAATATTCATAACATTTTCTACTGTTTTAATTTCTTACAGGAACTGGAAATCCTTCACGTTCAAGACGCAGCTGTGGATCCAAGAAGGCAACTTGCCAGCAAGTCAAATAGGAAAGCTTATCTGTCAGATATACTTGCTGAAGGTAAGATTTTTTAGAAAATTTTACAAAGGTTTTATGTTCACTTGCTAGATACAACTGCAAAAAAAAATATTAAGGAGAGTATAAATATAAAAGAAACAAGATACATAAATGTTAACAAGATTTTTCAACCAAAAAATTTTCTCTCAGGTCCTGAAAAATCAGCCTGACAAACTAAAGCTACACACACAAGATCCATAACGTAGTCTCTGTACTGTTGATAAACTCATTAAATAGTTATTCTATATGCAGACTGGTGAATAGTAATTGAACTAATTCAGATTCCAAAGCATGTCTCACACCAAAGTAGGTGTTGAGAGGGAATTGTTTTTCAAAGTTGTGGTGATTTATTTTAAATATATGTAACATTGAATGTCTTATTTGCTTCTAACTTGCAGAGGAAAATAATGTTAACATTTAATAGAAATCTGCTCCCTCAGAATGAAAGAATAGTGTGTTACTTCATGTATCTACTACAGATTAATCTTTCTAAGAAAAGAAATATTCTCTTTTTGGATTTATTTAAAGGAAAAAATAATAATTTAAAAAATCCCATCTAATGATTAATTCTTCTATGATTCATAAGTTATTTTTTATTTCCTTTTTTCTTGTCTTTTTAAAAATCTCCTTTATCTAGTCAGTCCTTTAGCTGCTCTGGCTGACAGCCCCCCTGGCCTGCACACCTGACCTCAGGCAAGTAGTAGAAACTTTCTAAACAGATATTGCTTCTCTTGATCTATGTATGACTCTGAATCTGTTCTGTAGAGCTAAGGTGTTGAACCACTGTACAGCTTTATACATATGTAGATAGAGTAATTAAACACAATCAGCTTATGCTACCATTGCTATTTGCAATTTTACAGCCTTACCATTTGGTCAGAAAACCCTCCTGTTGTCCCAAGACGGAACTTTTGCCCAAATCTAATTGGTTCACCCTCTGCACTTCCATCAACACTGTTAAAAGTGTAAAAAGAAAGAAAGAGACATTCAAATAATCAGCTTTACATTTATTGTGTTTATTTGTTTATTTGGGTCTATAGTTAGGACTTCTGGCAATAGTTTGTATTAAGTTTACCTTTAAAAATAGGTAAAATATCTTAACTGAAAGATATTTCATACTTACTGGTTGAAATATTTAACAGAACTGAAGCAGACTGTATAAATTAATTTTTATGATGCATCCATTAATGGGCAGGGTGGAAAGATTCCATCCAATGAAAAATCAATGAGAATTCAGCAGTGAGGCCCCCTTTAAAATTGACTTAACTACAAGCAATTGCAAAATCACAGACTAAAAACAGAACAATGTGTGTGTTTGTAACTTAACAGATGTTGCTGATAATATATGTAACTGATAATACATGGTTCATTACATCAACATCCATGCTGGTATATCCCTATTTCCAGATTTTTTAATGTATTTTACATTAAGAATCACTAAATCAATTGCTGGGCTTCCTAACTATATTCAGCATAAAAAACCTTTGTAGCTGATGAACTTAGTAGTCAGTTAATGAGGGAGCTGATAGCATTCAGTGCCAAGGACTCTAAGATCAGGCAGCAGCTAAGGAAAAATATTCTGGTTGCAGCTCAAGAAGGCCTAAGTAATGCTCTTGGCATCAAAATTCTCTCTCTGAGGTCTAACCCAACATGTTCTGCTTAATCACGATTCTATGGGTTATTTTTACCCTTACGCACTATTTCGGGACATGATCTAGTGGCCAAGGTTGTGGGGTTTATTGTGTTGATGGTTGGACTTGGTGATCTGAGAGGTCCTTTCTATTATTATTGTTAAATACACCCACTCAGGCACAGCCTTCCACTATTGAGCAGCACCCTGTTCCTCTGTTTCTTCTCCCACAAATAGCTGGAATTAAATATGTCTTTGAGAGAGAGAATCTGCTCTCTGATTAGGGGTTGGGTTTTTTTAGGGCAACAAGAACAATGTCCACAGCTAAAGAATTGACACAAATTGCTGATTGAGACACCTTATTTGTAGTAGAACAAAAAATAATAAGTGCTTTTTGGACATGATTTGTACTCTACAACTAATATATGACTGCATTAAAAACAGCTACAGAGTTTACCAAATGATACAGTGAACTAGATTCTGGTTTTACACCAGTTCTGAGCTGATTTAACCTTCCTTGGAATTATTCACAGTAATACCCAGAGTAGATCCAAGCTAAAGCATGACCCAAGTTAAAGACTCTTTCTTACATAATCTTACCCACATTCAGCTGTAGAGTAGCAAACTTCAGTGCAAATTTCTCAAAACAAGGTGCTGAAAGCTGACATAATAATTGAAAATGACAGAGAAGAAGGGACCAAACCTTAAAATGCAGAAGGTGTTTCGACCCACAGGGCTCACGCTCTCAGCTGCACTAATTCCACGAGGGGCAGTCAGTGGCCTGCTGGAATACAGGGCCAGTTCGTCCAGGTTCACTGCCAAGGTCAGGTTGCCACACACTCTGGAGTTGTCATCCACTGAGTAATTCTTGTTCACGAGCATCACAGCGTCTCCAAAATGAATAAATCCATCCTTGGACACTGACAGCTGGGTCTAAATTAAAATAAATACATTTCACATCAGAAGTATTTTAGCATAGAAGAATGCCAATCCATAGCATCCTTAATGCATGGAGAACACTAAGAAAAGCTGTGCCATATGGAGGAGGATTAGCATAACCTTCTCCAAAAATTACCTTCTTTAGAAGATTATCTTGAAGTTTGTGCATTTTCTGCATCAGAAGTTCTCCTCGTTCTCTTTTGTGCAGGAAATCCCGCAGGATGTCCTGGGGCAGAGGGGAGAGGGGACAGGCCGGTCAGTTGGGGCTGAGCGCAGGGAAGGAGGGGGAAGCACCGCGAGGTGAAGGCGCAGGTGAGGCTCCCCAGGAGCCGGGAGGGGAGGAGGGGAAGGCAGGGGAAGGGGTTCCAGCAGTACCGCCTCCAGGCGCCCATCCTCGGCCCAGTTGCCGACGAGCACCCCGCTCCTGTA